GTCTTATAAAATGTATGGAGGATCGCAAGTTTACCCATAAGTTTGCATAATCTGTCAATATTGGTAACAAATCTCCTCGATATCGAATTGCATGTACAAAAAATTGATAATTGCTTGAAATTCGAAAATTAATACCAGTTTATACATTTCAAAACAAAAAATAGTAATAATATTAAGCTTCATATAAAATTAAATAATATTGAAATCGAAGATGTAAAAACATCGTCATTTTTAGGTATAAAAATGGATTTATTAACTGGAACTTAGGTACATATCGACGAAATAATATCATATATGGATATGTTCTAAACCGAATCAGACAATTGGTATCAAAACAAGCTGCACTTTCATGGCATAATTGTGTAGGGAAATTCGGCTGTCGTGGTTTACAGAGCCTTAAAATAACAAAAAAAAAATGCATCAGAGCCATTTCTAGAGCAGGATATCTTGACAGTTGTAGACCATTATTTAAAGTATTACATATATTGCCCCTTCCAAGATCCCTTTCCACATTTACGAAATGTGTGTTTTTGTATATAAACATTGTAACTTATTTAAAACAAATAACGACTTTGACTGTAGAGGCAGAAAAGGTGACAAATTCTATATACCGTCACAGAGGCTCCATGTATATTCAAGCAACTGTTACTGCATGGTAATACGTATTTTCAACAAATTACCGACAGACATTAAAAGTTACAGTTTAATAAATTTAAGAAAGTAGTATAAAATTTATTAGAATAGAATAGGAGCAATATTTGTACGCTGACCAAGTCGGCAGAATTTGTGTGCATTCTTTAAAAAATATCATTATATTTGTGACCACTTTCTTGCAAATAAATATTTCTTTTCATTAACGCGTTTGATCTGTGATTGCGGAGGTTGAGCGACTATGCAAAGGCCGAGATGAGTGACCAAATTTTTTTACATGTTATTAAGTAAGTGTGCATAGTGCATACGACAAGAGAAGAAAAAAGAGAAATCCCGCTACGCCCCGATTCACCCACCGACCCCTCCACTCAGCCAAATAAAAAAGATTGATCACCCATCCCATTACTGGCCTATGCGAACGTCACTTAATCTTCGTAATCGCAAATTAAACGCTCTAGCGTCGGTACTAATAGTACACATAGGACTAGAGAGCAAAACCCGGCCATACCCCGCAGCGCCTGTCAACCACCTCCACCCACAGTTAAATAAAGAAAAGAATCATCCATCCGATGATCGGCCTTTGCAAAAGGAGCTTAATCTGCACGGATCTCCGATAAATCGGTCAAATAAGATACGTGCAATTTAAATCGACGATCGTTTCGATATCGGTCAAATAGCATCGAGCCATGAGTAAAGAATCTATGTTACCCTTATTATATAAGCCAAGTTCCAGTGAAAGTCCCGTCAAAATCGGTCAAGCCGTTTCTGAGGTTAGCCGGAACAAACAGACAGATAGATAGACAAAAATGTAAAAAATGATATTTTTGTATATGTAACATTTGCCTTTACATACAAAAATATATACCTAGATCGAAAATGGCGCGAAGAAATTCGACACAGATCAAACGTTGAGGAGCGCTCGCGCGGTACTAAGCTCGGTTGGCCGATGCGTTGCATTTTTTAGTGATTATGCAAAAAAACAAACATTTATAGTTTTTATTGAAATAAGATAATTATTTATGCTTTAAAATTATAAAATCTTTATTCCTTATGAAGTTATCATTATTCCGGTTTATAATATAATAATCTTGTTTAATAATATTATTATATAGATATGAGAAATTCGCAGTTAACTTGAATCAAAATTTGATGTTTTTTGGTTTATAATATGCTTTTTTTTTCTATATTTAGCGGCCTCGAAATTTTTAAAATCAAAAACAAAATTAAATCAAAATCAAAATTATTTATTCAGTCTAGGCTGTTACAAGCACTTGTGAAAGTCGAGAGCTACCCCTGTTTTATTTCATACAGAGCGTCAAGATTGAAAAATGACTTCATTAAAATATGAAGTCACTTTCCTTTACAATATTAGAAAATATAAGAGTAAAATAGTATTTTGTCATAAACAATTTAATATACATGAAAAATGAGCCATATTTAACACCAAACAGTTTTGTCATTTAAATATTCATTTACAGAGCGCTTAGTGTAAGTTTTTTTGACGTTCACTGTCGATCGTGAGCGCGTTAAGATTTTAGTATGGAATCCGGCACAGCGCCCCTAGCGGTAACTATCAAGAACTACAAATCTCCATACAAATTCTTAACGCGCTCACTAGTGAACGCGTTAGCGCAAAACTTACACTTACCACTCAGTATAACTAGCTTTTGCCCGAGACTTCGTCCGCGTGATATAGTTACTTTGGGCATCATATTTTCCAAAAACGCTGTTGTTTTTTGAGCTGATGATGAAATTACCTTGATGTTTAAGTTCGAAAATAGTACAACAAAATACCAACGAATGTCCAATATGTTCCAGCACTTTATCTTTGAAACTTTATACACTTAACAGTTCTGAAGTTTACAGAAAACTTAATCGAAAACGTAATCTATGCAAAATTCTTTGAAAGAAACGTTACCTTAGAATAAACGCCATCTAGGACACAGCGCCATCTATTGGGTGTATTTGCAACCTAGATGTCAAACAATGGGTATGTTCCGATATACACTGCGACCACTGAACAGTATGACGTCAATTTAGTATACTGGAAGCCCGTTCCTTTATAGCTAGTAGCGTTCCTTTATATATACTGGTGACTTTTTAAAACGGAACGCAGTCCAGTATACTGTTAATCCAATTTTTGGCGCCATTTTCAAATTTGTTAATGCAAGGTGAATATAAATATAAAGATTACCTCTTTTCAAGAGAAAATATTATAAAATTGGAAAATTGTATAAAAAAATTATTTATCCATCTTATAATAAACGTAAGTATTTTTTTTTGTTTATTTAGAAACTTATCATTTTCTGATTCTGTTACGACTGATCACGTGATCAAAAGCACTGCGAGCACCTTACCTCGAAATCTCCAGTGCTCACAGTACAAATATGGTGGCAATTTATGACGTCATGAATTTCCCTAGGGTACTGTAGCAGTGTACTGGCAGTCCATAACGGAACGGATTTTTCAGCAGTAAGACCACTGCGCAGTGCTCGTAGTGTATATCGGAACATACCCAATATTGAAGATTTTATCTATGAATCAACGTACATCGCCATCTATGAGAACTTCATAAAACTAAACAGTAAATAAACACTTTCTTAAGAAACAATTAATTAGTACATTTTATTCGTTTACATTCACGACATAAGCGAACAATTGAGATGATAACTATCCTATCCAGTAAGTTAGACCAAAATACAGGTACATGTGAAATTCGATTGAAATCGGTTCAGTAGTTTTGGAGTTTATTGGCAACATACATCGTGACACAAAATTTTTATATATATAAGATATCCTTTTCAATGCAGTTGCTCATAAAGCGCTATTTTTTTATCCATTGTAAACATCGAAAGTGAGTCTTTAAACACGTGTTTAATAGAAATGTACTGAAATCCTTTACTGCACACGTGCTTAAAAGTATTTTTTTAATTTTTTTTTTGCCGAGCACCAAAGAAATTTAAAAAAAAATTATGAAAATATCTCAAACTTTAGAGGCAAAAGTATTTCAAGGAGTATAGAACTAATATATTCAAATAAAAATGTATGGCACGAAAACATGTTCAAATATCACGTTTAATTTTAACAAATAATTTTTACCTTTAATACATACTTAGTTTTATTAACCTATATATTTGTTTTATTTCCTCGCAAAAAGCATTGAAAAATGTTGTAAGAAACTTGAGCGTTAAAGGTTTTTCGAATTCGTGCCAATGAAAACCCTCGCTACGCTCGTGTTTTCAATTTGGCCCTTATTCATAAAACCTTAGTTTCCGCACTCGTATCTTAAATAACTATTACTGAGTAGACAATTCTTAATATGGATTTTAAGCTTAGGTAATGGTAAATTTAAAATTTCCATAGGAATTTTGTTATAGTAGTGTATACCTTGACCCATAAATGATGATAGTACCTTCTTTAGTCTGCATGACGGCAAAACAAGTTTATCTTTGTTTCTAGTATTCAAATTGATATGATTATGTTTAGTGTAATTGTTAATATTGTTTCTAACATATAGTATACAATTGTATATGAATTGTGAGGCCACTGTTAATATCCCAATTTCTTTGAATTTATTTCTATTTGATGTTCTTGGACCCAATTGATAAATAGCCCTTATTGCTCTTTTTTGTAAAATAAATATAGACTCTATATCTGCAGCCATACCCACATCAGAATGCCATATGACATAGCACTATGGAAATAACTAAAGTATACTGTTCTAGCGGTATCTACATCCGTAAGTTACCTAATTTTTTTTATTGCAAAGGCAGATGAATTTAGTTTTCCTGCCAATAATGAAATAGCACTTTCAAAAACTACGAACTATACGACTCTTATATAGAGATATCATTCTATTTTTTTATTTCATTTGTTTAGCTCAATCCAGGAGCACAAAAGAGTGTCTACCCATTTTATAAAAATCTTTCTCAGCTATTTTGGGGTTAATTTAAAAGATAAGCAACATTTTTAAAAAATATTTCCGCTACGAACAAATGCAACAGTTATTCTGCACTATTCAACAAGTCAACATTATTCATATATTTTTGTTTCCGAGGTTTTACGCAAAAATGTTGACAAGTAATGGGGCTCATAGGACTTTTTTTTAAATTTGTAGTTACACATCACGTAACAAAACTTGAAAATGTAAAATACATCATTTATGTAATTAAAAATGTGTACGATTTTTTGGTATACGTAATTAAAAAAAACCGTTTTGGCCTCGCCATTGACTGACCTAGTAAATTTCACTATCTGCAATATATGTAACTGAGAATTCAATGAACTCCTGTCACTGTTGAATTTTGAAGACAGAATTTGTTCTCTTATAGTGTTTTTGTTTCCCGTAGCCGTCAGTAATGCTACCGATATGGACGTCGGAGTTCCTCCAAGCGGTCGCCCGCATGGACCCAAAGTTCATTGCCCTCCATCTTCAAGAAGTGGGGGGCAAAGCTTATGAAAAGTCTATGCAGTACGTTCAAGATTTCGTGCAGAGACTGTGCGATTGTCCAGAATTGAGGCTGTATGACAAGATCAGGATATTCCTGGACGAAGATTTTAGCTCGCCCGAGAAGTTTACAGTGAGTTCATACTAAATATGATTACGTTATATATAATATTGCTTTAATAGCATCAAACTGATCAGGCGTTACCGTGTAGAAATCTATGTGTACTGAAACGCATCAACAACCGTTAGCGCATTCGGTTGTTGAATGATTTACTTACTAAACATTACAAAAAATATCCTAATTCCAGTTTTATAGCACGGTCGCCGAACAGAAAGAATTTCGTACAATGACCCAGCTCTACATATCTCTTTCATTCGTGTGTAGACATATTGCTGTTGCACTCGCACAGATGCATCAAGCAAATTTTGTCATGGTAAAGTGAACCTAAAATGTTAACGATATCTGTTTTACTAATATTTCAGGCATTAGGCAACATGTACTTTGCCCATTCATCGTTAACTGACCTGAAGATATGGGACTTCGATCTGAAGGCATACGTTGACGTTCAGGGCAAGGAGGTGCACAGCGGGAATATTGAGAAGGTCACCACTAAAGAGAAGGCCAAGTTTCCACAACATTTTTTCCCTGAGGTATCCCATTAGTTAATTTAATTACCTTTTCCGTAGCTTCAAGATAAGGCGATTAAATATTTGTGTTGATATTGAAAAATAGTTTAGACATATTTCGGTCATTTGTATGGACAGATTTATCCTATTGCAGATCCTATATAAATATACCCTTTTAGAAAATAGTAAAACATAAATTTACAAGATAATCTATTAATTGTACTTTCAGTGTAAATGGTCACGCAAAGGATTTTTAAGAACCCGTTGGATGATACGAGGGACGGCAGTTGAGTTCGTCAACATACATCTGTTCCATGACGCTTCTAATTTGCTTGCTCTTGAACCATTCCCTTCGGTAAGTACTATACTTTTGTATCATATTTACTGATGCTTGGTAGACAAAAGTAGCTATTTTTGTTTCTTATTGTTACGTTTTTTGTTCGTCTAATCTTTTGCATGTATATTTTCTTTAATCGATTCAATAAAAAATTTTGTATACATAACAACACAACGTACGCCATGTCAACTTACTGTGTTTCTAAAATTGAATGTCATAAATACAATAATATAACGTCTTCTCCGTCATATAGCATTACTTGTAAAAAATCTCATATTACTTAACTGTTTATTACAAGTATATAAGAATATGATACAAGCTCTGTCTCACTAATAATAATCAAACAATTTAATAGGCTCGACTTCTTATTTACGGTGCATATAAATGGTTACCCCAGTTCGTCAAATTTAAATGCTAAACTCATTCTCGTGTATTATGAATGATCACATAAGAATACAATCAGAACTTGAACTTGTTTCTGTTAGTAGTTCGTGTAATTGCTCTCTTGAAAATTCTTATTTATACCTAAAAAATATATTAAATTCCCTAAAAATTTTGCATGTTAATATAAGAAGCATCGGTAATACAACTTACTTTGAAAATTTATGTATACTAATGGATAAATTCAATTTAAAATTGATATAATCATTTTAAGCGAGTGTTGGATAACTAAATGTCTAAATTTACTAACAATATCTGGATATTTCACTTACAGTTCTGAATTATGTAATCAAAATGATGGGGTAGTGGTTTATTTGAGCGATTCTATTAAACAAAAGTTGAAGAGCAAATTGCCTACTTTTAAAACTGTCTACTGATGTTGCTATTTTAGCGATACACCGCTCTCCGTCCAACAGGAACATTGATAACTTTGCCCTATTATTGGACTCTGTATTGGCTTCATTGCATTCTTTTAAAACTATAGAACTTTTGGGTGAAAGAAACATACATATTGTTGTTGACAATAACGATACAAACTCTGATGCATATTTGAACTTAATGGCATCTCACCCATTAATGGCATATTACCGGCACATCTCTTACCAACTCGAGACGAAAATTGTTTAGACCATGTGATATTGAAGTCTGACAAATCAGCTTAGTGCTCGATTCTCTTTTTACTGACCATCAACCCGTACTCTTCTGTAACGATAATAGACGAAATGTAAATTATAAAAATCGCAATTGCTCGGTGAAACACTTTCATATCCCTACTACCTCTGTAAAAGATATCGAAGAAGTTGATTTCTCTTCAGTCAACTGCAATATGTCTGCAGAAAGAGCTGCAAATATGTTAGTTGAAATAGTTTCCAACATTGTCATAGTAAATACTAGAGTTGTTATTATACCAAAGAGAAAACGTATTCTTAAGCCCTAGATCACCCATGGCTTGCTTCGATATATCTGGAAAAGAGAAAATCTTTTTCGAAAATATAAGCACAATCCTATCCATGAAAACATTAAAGTATAAGCGATATAAAAATTTCTGCATCAATCTTCTTAAAAAATCAAACGTGTATACGAACAAGCACAATTCACTTAGTATAAAAATCATATAAAAGGAACATGGATAATAAAGAAAATCTAAAATATTAATAGATGCAATACCTGAACTTACAAACTCTTGACTATGAACTTAATTGTAATCAGAAATCATTGTGCGTTTTCCTTGACATATCGAAAACTTTCGTTACTGTTTCCGTGCCTCTCTTGTTGGACAAACCGCAGTGGTTGGGTAAACGAGGTTTGGTTCTTGAAATGTTCCGGAGTTATCCAAGTAATAGATGTCAAAGTGTTTCCATTGTCAATATTATAAGCAACGATAAGTTTTTCACATCTGGCGTTCCTCAGAGTAGCGTCCTTGGACCTACTCTATTTTTGCTATATATTAATGATTTATGCCAACTGCCTCTTACAAACTGTAAAATTGTGACATATGCTAATGACACAGCCATTCTCGTGCAGGGTCATGAATGGGAGGCAACTTGTGTCCGTGCTGAGCTTGCTTTGCTTGTAGTCAAGAAATGGCTAGCAAATAACCTCCTTACATTTAATGCTAAAAAGTCTTGCTCCATGTCACATTGACTCCATGATTGCAGTATCAGCCAGGAGAACCATTCAAAATTCGAGCTCATCTACGAACATGCATAGATTCTGATAAAGCATTCAATTGTGTAACAATCTCTCGAGTCTCTGTAAAATACTTGGGGGTGACTGTTGATAGTGTGATGTTATGGAGAGAGCATATAAAATCCGTCCGGGATCTTTGTTTTCTTTATCTATTGTAGGGGGATTAATTATGACCAGTCTACCACTAAAAGAAATAAGTCGCTTAGTATTGAAGCTTTTATCTAAGGTTGCCTGAAAATGATTTTGCTTTGTATTGTCACAGTCTAAAAACTGTACTCTAAACATTGTAGTTAAATAGAGTGGTCTTACGATTTTTTACTTTTTTACTGATGTTATCGTAGGTGTATTGTCGCAGTAGAAGACGAGCTTTACGGCACACTTTACGTCACTTGCACGCGGACGTCAACGCTGCGCCGTACTTCATATTTGGCGACTTCAACTTCAGGACGGACACTGGTGGAGTGGTTAAGGTATGAGGTATTATCGTGAAAAGTAGTTCTTTCGATTATTCCGCGGAGTAGAAAATACTTTAATACATGTTATTTATTTAAATGATACATTCCATGTTAATGTGATAATTAATTCATCATTTGTAGAAAAGCATAATAATCAGTGATGGATTATTTTTATATTTGTAGTTTTTGTAACTACTATTAATATTAGGTACAAACTCGTATTTTTAAGTAGTTACGAATACTAAATTTATTCAATATTTATTATCGTACGTTTATATAATCTGTTTGAAAATATTGACGTTATGAGAATAATGAGGAAAAAAGTTGTCATTAAAAATTTACAACTAATTTGAAAGTAGTTAGGCACCGAAAATTTCCTGTTATAACACCCACAATCGTTTTAAAATGTTTGCGTTTAAATATAAATAGGTATTGTATTTAAAACAATGCTAAACTACTTCGTGTGTTCAGAAGTTTTGAGATAAACTTTTTACTGAAAAAATAAAATAAAATATTACTGGTTGATATTTTCTTTTTTACCGATTTTGAATTTGGAATGTTAACTTTTAGTTTATTTGTATCGCAAATTCATTGGTTTATATTTTCTCGTGAAACATTTACGTGCAACTGTCATTTCGCTATTTAAGGCGGGAAAAAACCGATAAAGGTTTTCCGCAAGCTGAAAAGCTTTCCTGTAAGCCGTAACTTTGTCTATTACACAATACAGCAGTAAAAACTGACTATGTAATACTAGTAACTCTGCGAAATCGTCAAAGGAGTGGTCGGCCACGCTCTGTGAGGACGCCTGCAGACATTAAAATCATCCGAGAGCGACTTCGCCGAAATCCATGTCGCATTCGGAAGAAACTCGCTTTGCAAACTAATATTTCGCGCGTTTCAGTGAACAGAATACTGAAATATGATCGTAACTTCGTCCATGTTGTTGTTGGAGAATATTGAGGGAGAATGTGCTGGCCTTCATCGCGGCGGACGAGTGGCCCTCCTCTAGCCCGGAACTTAAAACAAATGAAATCCTCAAATTCAACCCGCTAGATTAATCTTTATGGACTGAATTAGAGCTCAAGGCCTGCTGAAAGTCCCACCCAAACTTGGAGTTACTGAAGCAAATTCTTGTTCGAGATGCAAAGCGAATTCCGCTAGAAAAGATTCGTGCCGCCATTGATGACTGGCCAAATCGTCTAAGGGCCTGTTTTAAAAACAAGGGCGGTCATTTTGAATAAAATATATATTTTATTATTATCTATTTAATGGTTACTGAAAATTTAAGAAATATAAGTTAAATATTAAAAACTGTGTTCATAAGTTTTAAGACGAAATAAAAGTTGCGTAACGACGTACAACCAATGATTTTTTATATCATTTGTTATATAAACTTATATAATTATATGTGGTGTAACGTATTATTAATCAATATTTTACATTAAAATTTTTCATTTAAATAAACACATAATTATATACCTGAGGATCAGATAACATCTTTTATACATTAAAATATGTAACATAGTAACATAGCAATAAGAGCTTCTATAATTTTTTGAGTATTAAATAAACCTCAGCAATTGCAGTTTTATTGGAATATATGACTTATCAAATTCAAACTTCGTTACCGGTGTCATATCCACATTAAGACTAACTACTGATTATTGTAACTGCTGAGTGTTGACTAGAGCAAATTTTTATATTTTACCAAGAAATGTATTACAACTCGAATGAATAAAGTATATTTTTTTAGAAAGTGACAGAAGAATTGACGGCGTGTAGGCTACAGAATGGTGCGAACGTAGACTCGGCTAAACTGCAATACCGAGCGCATATCGACGACAGACTGGTGCTAACTATCGGCAAGAAGGAATTCGCCCACGCCGACCATCAGAAAATATTCCGAGAGCCCTGGGTATGTGCCCTCAAATTAAAGCAATCAAAGGAATCCATGTTCATACAGCTTGATTCTATCTGTACTTAATAAACCCATATTTACACATATATAAAAGGCTTTCTCTTTTCTGAACTAATGTTTATTTATATTTACAGTCAAATTATTAAATTACAATGTACAATCGCGTACTAGATATGCTATATGTTGCCAATCTAGTGTATAATCTCAAAAAATCTCGTATCTTTAATCAGTTACTCTTTCACCAAAAAAAAATCCATCAGTGCTAATTCGGTGATTATTTTCAGCTGCAACGTTTTGATCGCGAATTGGAGGCGTTAAGGCCTCACTTGTACGAATTCCCCGTAAAATTTCCACCTTCATATCCATTCGAAGAGGACATACATCTTCCTACGCATTACATGAAGACCAGGTAAATATTTATCCTCATCGCTAACCTACTATTATGCTTATTTAATATTTTTATGTAATCACATTTAAACCAAATAGATTATTTAATTCATTCATAGTAAATTCGAGACGATAAGGAATAAAATTTCATGGATCAGGCATTTATCCCACTTGCTCGTATCGGATACATCAAATTTCAGCATTGGATTTTGAACTGTACAGTCAATGTATTAAGATTTGCAATCTATATAAATGTCTTCACGGGGAGAATCAACAAAATTAAGTAAAGAAATTTGTCAGTTTTAAAGATTAGATTCAGCCGTGCATACGGAAGATTTTGAGATAATTAATCTGGTAATCGGCCGTTACAAAACTTGCTAACCTTTGCAAAACTTTGCAATCATAGATCCAACGCACTTAACCCTACGTATCGAGTTAATATGTTAGCTACGTTTATACATTATTACGAGTAAGATGAATGATATCATGTGTTATAAGACATTTTAAGGGTTGGACTACATCCTGCAGCAAGTCTCCTTCCGTCATCCTTTCTGTTGCTCAGAACTGTCATTTGCTAGAGCGAGAATAATAAAACCCATTGAGGATTCCGTAGCATACTCTTGCTATCTTCTCGCTTCATAGAATAAGATAGAACATCAGAAAAGGTGCCGTGCTGTGAAATGTAGAACAACCCAAAAGTTAATTGTTATCGATTGTTACTTGTTACCTCGGAGTCAACAAAAGTTTTGTGGAGGCGACATATAGTTAATTCGTGTACTAACACGGAAACTCAAAAACTATTCCCTTAGTATTATTTTCTGACTTGCGCAGGATAGCAAGCAACTGACTGAGCTATAACTATTTAAGAAGTTTATGTAGTATATAATAATTAAGTAATAATAATTAATGTATTTATTTATTTAGATGTCCGGCGTGGTGTGATAGGATCCTGTTGTCTCAGTCTGCCAGACTGCTGGTACAGAATCCAGATCCTGCTCGGCCAGGAGAGAATAGACATTTGCATGCATCGAGGTAACTTGTCATGTGAAACAAGATCAAATATATCTAGATAAAAGGTTGTTAAAGTTTCTATAGAAAATGGATATTACTTATTGTTTGTTGAAAAACAAGCAAAAGTCGATTTGCGTAATATATGGTTAGTGCCTTATAAATAATGCAGTGATATTAAATGTTATGGTGACAGTTTTATTCTTTTCTACAAATAGTAATAAAGATCCCCGAAAATTGCTGATGCGCCTTGTTACCATTCTGGTGCCATAATCTATTGACAGTTATGTTCAATAAACACTGGTTGAAGAGTATACTTATTAAGTTTTGTTGCTTTTTACTTTTTTTTGTTGGTTGTTTTGTAATTACGTATTAATATTGTTGTTATCGATTATTATTATTTTTTATGGTTGACTAAAATAGCAACTGCTATTATGATTTACACAATAAAGTAAACCTGATTTCATAAAAAATAAATAAGTCTCATTTCATAACTACTTTTCCTCCCTTCATTTTTTTAAACAATGATATAGTCACACATTGACTTTGCCCCCCTCATAAGACTAGTTTACCTAGACTAGTATACCTACCTACCAAGACTAGTATACCTTTAGGATTAGCGATTTGCGGGTTTATTTATAATATAATTTATCGTTTTCACAGGAAATCTGTGGCGGATTCAACTGACAGTAGTGGACGAGTCTCGTCATCGGACAGTAGTCCGGCGCGATCCGGTTCGCCTATCAGGCAAAACAATCAGGTAATTTTCCATACATAGTATATATAAAAAGTCGCTTCCCGCTGTCTCTACGCTAAAATTTTTTAAACAACACAAGGGATTAATGCGTTGGACATCAATAGACAGGTTGATTCAAGAGAAAGGTTTACATGTATAATACACAGTGAAGCCTCCGAAAGAGAGCTAGTAATTTATAAAGAGTAAAATGAAATAATTATCTTTGTCGTAATGAAGGACTTGGAATTACAATAGAGATTATTATATATTTGTTAACAATTACATACTAATAATAAGAAAATTTACATGATTCAATTGATATTTTTAAATTACAATGTTCTTTCTTATTAAAAAAATGACAAACCCGCGGTATATTAGCGTGAATCTGATTAAACGTCAAAAGCGTCAGTGATAGCTAACTGACAGTAAAATTTCCACATAGGGATGCAATCGACGAATAGTGTTGTTCGTAATAATCGATCCTTTTCTAACAATAGTGTTAATCTTAGGATCACATTTCTTCGTGTAGTTAGCGTTTAATATGTTGATACTATAAGTTCCGAAGATGACCGAAGATACAAATAAAATGTATAGATGTAAAATACGACGTATTATGTGTCAATCTTTGTAGTGGTCTCGCACGGGGATATTGGTGGATCTTTGAATCATTTTGATTGGTCGACATTTTCCTAGCTTCGACATTTGGCCTTCTGCGCATCAGTGAACCTCTATTATTCTTATCTATGTCTAATCGAGATTTTAAATGTGAGTTTCTCAATAAACTATTTCTTTCTTGTCAATCTTTATTTGCAGTTGCAAGTGCTTTACAAAGTCAGTCAATACCCCGATTGTGTTAAAATATACAAATTGTTTACAGAATAGTCCGGGAAAAACTTTAGAGAAGAAAAGTAGTGTGGCAGATCTAGACGCTTTGTCTGTGCCCGGCATCAACGTTAGCAGGAAGAGTATCGCTGATCCAACTAGCGTACAGCAAGCTATCAATGCGAGGTAAGCCTTCTGTCAATGCAATAACGTCTTATATCAGTTAACATTATATACAGGGTAAAATTATTAACATAACAATTTTTTTCTATAATTTTGCATCATTAATAGAACACATTCAGAAAGAAGACGAGAATGTATATTTCACTGCGTCTGCAATTTGTAGGTATATGGACCAAATTATCATTTCCCTTCAGATATAGTACCATCATTCTTCTTTAAATCTCATGTTAGTTAGTTACAATAAAAAAATTGGAAAGAGTCAAAATCATTACTGTAATGAACACAACATTAAAATGTGGGCATTAATTATATTTTTTTTTACCAGCGGTCCCTGGAATGGACCATGAAATTGTTTCTGCTATATAAAAATAATTACCTTTAATTACTTTATCTGGATTTTATTTATATGCAGACACATACATCATATAATTTATTTAATGACATGTGACAAGAATTGAATAAATCGAATTTAATCTTGACTTCGGTCAGCAAATTAAACCAGGAGGGTCAATAGCTGTATGTACGGGAGAATAAAACTTAATTAACCCGGTATAGAAAATGGCCTCTATTGACTAAAAGTAAATCCTTATTTTAAACCAATGAAAATCATTAGTTTGATGGTTTGTTTTGGTTTGTCGTAGGGCATCGGAGTGTTCCGGTTCCCCGATTCGTCGGAAACTAGTCCGCAACCAATCGGAAGGATCGCCCAAACCTAACGAAGCACTATCAGCGGAACTTCGCCGACTAGTTGACGCGCCCGCAAGAAAAAGACATGACTACGGCGTCATAGGCGATGCCGCCTGTATGGGTGATCATAAGGTATGAGTTATATGTATATGAATTGTAATATTTGCACGTCGTCTTGACAACAAAACATGATGGGTATTTAAAATTGTTAATAACTTGTGTAATTATATCTCCGAAAATTAAACGGATTACGGTACATTTGTAATTTAGGCCGAAATCAGAAAATGGTGATGCGATTAAGATGGCCAGCAAATTGTCAACTTTATCATATTTAGTAGTGAAGAAAATACCAATTTAGAAATTAATTTTATTAATTCTTGATAAATTAGTTAATCCAACAATATAAGGAAACAAAAAAATGAAGCAAATTTTGTTTCTTTGCTGTCATACTGATGGCTAGGTCGTGAAGTTGATCCTGATCTTATTTGACTCACTACGTACCTAATTATTGACAAAATATAAGATTTAAGTATTCAACTGTACAGAAGTAAAAGTTTATTCACTATTATCAGCCTAATATTCCCCAGTTTTTCACTTTCCTATGTTATCTGTAATTGTACAATTAAAGAGGCTGTTTAGTCAATCTTTTTACGCTAATTGCGTAATATAGTATATATATATATATATATATAAGCTAATATACTATATACTCATATAATATGAAATTGATATATATTAAGATGTTTATTCAAATTTATCTAGAGCCTTATGCATACATTGAACTACAAGTTAACGTTTAAGAGTAATAAATTACAACATTTATTATTATCAAAAAAAATATATCAAATTCAAACATTACACATACAACTTATATATTTATTGAACAAACTATTATTTTCATCTTTGCAGCCGATCTACCTCCGCGTGATGCTACAAAGCGACCGAGGTACCGTAAAGTGTAGTGATCACAGAGCTCCTTGCACTGTTTGTCCCCCTCCAACGCGTCTCGCCTTCTCTCTCGCTCACCCCCGCTCCTCGCCTCTTAGGAGACTTCCCACCGATCCCGACCTATACAACAAACAGACTTATTCTACCCGATGCATTAGTCATCCCGAAAAGTTACCCGACCACCATAGACTGAAAAGATCACGCACTGGTTCCTTAAACGAGATACTATTAAGAATACCCCACGTCGAAATTACCAGCGCGGACTATTCCAGTTACGATGGCATTTTCGTAAACGAAGTCGACACAGCCCTCCTATCGGTCAGACGATGCGTCGGCCCTTACACACCTGAAAGCGTAGAATCTCATACGCCTGACGTGGAAGCTTCCAGTACCGAAGAAATACCGGAAATCGTAGATCTTGTTCCCAAATTCGATCCCAAATCGATTAAACTCCATCGAGATAGAAGTGTATCTCCGACTCAATTAAAAAATCGATTAGATAAACTGTTGAATAATGATAAGTACTCGATCCCTGAAATCCAGAGGCTCGATAGTAGAGAATCTTGTAAGTCAGGTAGCAGTAAAAGTGGAGGGCTGTGTTGTTTAGCCCTTAAATGTTATGGGTTTTGTAGAAGGAGGGCGCGACGAGTTGACTGTGGATGTAGTGGCGTTAGTGACTGTTGCACATGTTGAAGCTTGGTTCTGTTTTTAAAAATTTGAAAATTTAAGAACTCTTCTGAGTTTTATTCTGTGTTTCATTTTTTTTGTGTCCGTTGACAAATTTTTACAAACTTTTTTTTTTGACGTGCAGTTTTCAGATTTTTAAAACCAGTTTTTTTTTTTATCGCAACACTTTAATAATTTTTGTTTTACGTATGTAGCAATACTATTGCGTGTATTGTATTATACATTAATTTAGTCGTTGTGTACTTGAAATGGTAGTTTCATTTCCTTTTTTATTATGACTTATTTGTTTCTGCCACATTTTCCACACTGTGGTAGTAATAATAATATAGATATTTTGATAATTATTTTTTAGATGATTTGAAATGATCTTTATGCATACATAATTCATGTATTGTGTAATCAAAAATGACCAAAATATTCTTGAAATAAATTATTTATTTCTCGTATTCCAATCATTATGTATGAATAATGCAATTTGATATTTCTCGTATTCCAATCATTAATGTGACTGTTGAATTTGCATGATTTTCGAATAATTGTTTTTATATTGTGAATATACAACGCATGGCGTTTTTAATACCTATACCGCTTTCTAACGCTCCATTCCGAAATTATTTGTGTATTACAAAATTTGAAGTTTATTTTAATAATTATTTTTAATTCTTTTATATAAGGTTGGAAATCGTAATTAAATCTAAAGATCCCGTTTGGTAACTGAATAGGATAATGTAAAAAGATTAACAAAACATATTTAAAGCTCTTAAATATGGATGCCCAGGTGATTGGGTTAAAAAAGTTGTTTTAAAAGTTCTTTTTTAATATTATTATTTAGCAATACTTTGTCTTTTTTGTTATATCGTTTGTATTTAATAACCCTAGGTACAACATTTTTTTACAAATTGCTATTTGCATATAGAAACGTGACTGCACTGTACATATTTTTGTATATAAATAACTGCTTAACGAAAATGAATTTTATGGTAATTGACTTAAGACTAAATTTTTATAACAATTATTGAAATAATAGTACAATTTATAAATTTACTGTTGTTAAAGTGTTTACGGTGTGTTTAAGCTCTGATTGATCTTGCTGTTTTAAATATGTTGTAAATGTTGTATCTTGGGCTTTTGTCATCAAATATACAATAATAGTTTTAAGAGTTTGGATGCATCAAGTCGGTTGTATATATTACATCAAATTAATTAAAACAACCGTTCATTATTGTTCAATATTTATTTATTCAAGTTCTACAATTGAATCTACATTATTAAAAAAAAAAAAGTTTTATCTTTTTTTTTATCTTTCATGTGACAATAATTCGTAAAATGTTCTTGGATTTAGCATTTAATATTTACGTTTAAAACAGTTTTTAGTTAATTTATCACCTGACTCAGGGCATACAAAGTTAATTATAACTGTGTTCTGTGTTTATGATATAGGTATAGTCGACATCATGTCAAGTTACTACAAAAAGTCTAATTTATTTAATCTACTTTAAGCCCGTTTTCACTAACCTAGAAAAAGGCATTAATGTTCGCCTATGATCTTGTGTGCTTCAGTTCTTCTTCTTTTGTAATGAATAGCCTATTTGCGTTTACACAATTCCGCCAATGTCACGTTAGTGGCCTTTACACGTAAAGGTATAAGAGACATAGGCTTGTATTTAAACGAGCACCCAAGTTGTCAATGTTGTCTATTGAGTCCATAAATTCAAACAAACTCTTGGTTTATATCTACTCCTAATATATGAATTCCTATATTCCAAGATCTTTGATTCCAACCAACTAAATTGGTTTTATCCCTTGACACATCTGTGGTGACCTAGCGTAAGACGCTAAATTCGTTAGGTGATTTCTAGTCATTAGTGAAACTCATTTTCACTTTTAGACTTCTAAATGTTTAGCTGTCAAAATTTGGGCGACTCCTAACTTTAGTAAAACGGGCTCAATCTTTTGACATTTAAGTTTAAAATGGATTGAAGAAATTTGTCGTAACCTGATGTGTTGCTGTGTGTACTGAACAATATTATACCAAATGCTTAAAAAAATATTCTAGTCTAGTTCTGCTCAAGCGGAATATAAATTCAATACCTTTGTTGTTAATTACAAAAAATGCCCTTAACTACAAAAATATAGTTCAGTCAAAATCTACAAAAATATACAAACAAAGTAATTGATATAATAAAAATACCTTTGTTGTTAATTACAAAAAATGCCCTTAACTACAAAAATATAGTTCAGTCAAAATCTACAAAAATATACAAACAAAGTAATTGATATAATAACAATCTTTAAATATTTTGAAGTCTTAAGTGAAATGAAATACCTAAAATATGTATTTTATATAAATAATTTGTATGAGATAAAAACTTAACTCTAACATATAATTAGAATCACGATCAGAATCAAAATCCTATCCAATAAGGTTTGTTTTATTTGTCAAATATTGACACCTTATTGCATTATTAAATAGTTAATATTTACTTATATACGACATACATAGCTTACAAAGTGCCATAAAGACGATAATGCAATATTTTGGTATTTCAATATGTAAAATATTTTAATTAACAATTCCAAAGGGTTAATCTATTATGAAATTTATTATAATAATACACCGAAAGTCACTATTTAATTTAAGACTGGATATTTACTTACTATTAATTTTAAGTTATTTACTAATAGACTTTTATTCGAGAAAGCTTTTAAAATTACCTACAGATAATTCGCAATATTTGAAGCGAGACGGTGCTATACATTTATATAGATGTGATAATATTTTCTTTTTAAGAAGACAAAACGGATAGAGGCAGGGTGACCATTTTTTAAAGCCGTCTAAAAGTCTATAAGTGAAATATGTTAATGCACTTTAAGTACATACATAATATATAAGCCACTTTGTTATTGTAACGTGGTGCTAGTTATCCATAAACATTCCGCACTGAGAATTATTTTGTTTTTTCTTTTTTGAAGTTCTTTCCAAAATTCGAGGCTCGCTCGTGTATATGTTATGGGTCAGGTTAATAATGCGGGCATTAGTAATAATGTGCGAGCGTTATGTATGAATAATGTCTAGCATTTACTGGGCTAAGTGATAAATTTATATATTAACTTTATTATTTATCATATCTCACAGTTATTATATTACTATATGCAATTGGGCAATTTGATAATAAAGCTAGATTTGATTTTGGCGAGGGAAGAGTAAGTGATTGTTTTAAAGTAGATAACAGTAAAGGTCCTTTAGTCTTATTATTTTCGTATATCATATAATTTTTTAAGAGGAAATGAAACTTTAAGGTCTCTAAAATAATGTTTTAATTTAAATTATCTGAATAATAAAGTAATAAATATGCTTCTCCGCGCTTTAGCGTGTGGTGGGCAGGGCATAAAAAATGACAAAAACATGAAAAATTATTAAATCATATTGGACATTTGTCACAATGTCCGGGTATTATGTATAATGCCCAATTTATTACTTGGCCATAACATATATACCTATACAGTAAGATACCACTAATTGGGTTCACTGATCTACATACGTAGAAGGCTGAATTTCGAAGCGCGGCAAATGTCGACCAATCAGAAAGTTTCAAGTATCACACTATTGAGCGATCAACCAACATCAACGCGTCTTACGCCGAGTATGACTGAGACGGACACCTAATGTGTTGTATTTTACACCTTATTATTATTGAAACAATATACATTTTAATCGTAGTAAGTTCGCTTTGTGCAAATAAAGATTGATCTCGAGCCACATTAGTTGGTGCTAACTGTATCTACAAGAATAGAAATTAAAAATAATGTTTTCCTAGTTGATGATTTAGCATCATATCGCATATTAAATGTTTGTTTTGATGTCTTAACAAAATTTAGACCCCAAGACAAAGAGTAATTTGATCGTTCTAAAAATTAAATGCGCTTTTTATATATTAATCATATAATACGATATGGTGCTGAATCGCGTGCCTTGTTTTCCTGAATTTCCTAAGTTTTTGAAGCACCCGAGTGTGATGTGGAGTTGCTTGTAAGTACATCTTTTGCTTTTTTATTTGCAATTTTTGCTTTCTCTCAAATGGCGCCACTGAACTTTACTATTCGTTAGAAGCTAACACTTATTTTTTTATTGGTCTTATATGGCAAATAAAACCTACCAATGTTTTGTCAAGGAGGGGTTTTCAAACAGAGGTGAGTTAACACAATCCTGCTTTCTCGAAATTTCTTACCATCGTTAGCAGTGGGTTGTTTCGACTCACCGCTATTTAAAAAACACTCGGTTTACCCCTACCTACACTGACTAAACATGCCAGTTACATCTCATAATTGAAGCGCCCCCATAATACTAATTAAAAAATTTGATGAAGAATTTTGTGAAGACAAATGTCAAACTTCTACTATTCAAATAGAATTAGAAATATATAGAATAATAAATGTATGTGGTTTCGTTATTAAATTTAAATCGAGAAAGTATTAGGATACTCGTTTCATATTAATTTCAAACCTATTTAAATCTGATTAGGTTATCCTTTGAAAATACTTCCTGCTTAGTCTGAGTTGATTTCTACTATTAAAGTTTTCTGTAATAGTAATTTGTGCACCAGATTCGTTTTGTATTAACTGCTATAAAATATTCTTAATAAAGAAATGCTTAATAATTCTACTTTGTCCCTGGCACTCTGAGATGGGACTTGAACCCATGACCTTTCACAATCCAGGCGATTGCTCTAACCACTGAGCTACCCAGGACCTAATAGGACTGACGAATTTTTCAAGCATTTGTTACTTTTTATTCTTTAATCGACTTTCTGAGATTGTAGAAGTATAGTTTGTTTCAATTCAGGAACTTGCTAACTAGCTGTTGGAGTTTTAGCGATAGGAGGCATGTAATAAGGTTCTCTAGTTAACTAGTATCAGAATGTATAGTTAATAACTGGTACACAGAATAGCTCGCCGTTATTACTATTAGATTATCGAGTGTCAGTGGTATTTTTGATCTTGTATTT